AAATTCACGCCGAATTAGCCGAATTGGCATCCAAATTCATCCAAATTCGAAGAACATCAGAAACACATCTTTAAAAAGGGGTCAGATTTTTTTTTGATAGATGTATTTTAGAGTGAAGGTTCCCAAATATTTAATGTTTTTTTTTATGGCATTCCATAACATACATTATATAATACATGTTCCTTAAAATTCCCTACGCTTCTTTAAAACTCCTTAAAAGTCCTTATAAAAAAAGAAAAAAAACATTGCCATTGCTTAAAATTCCTTAAGCAATCCTTAAATTTCCTGGAAAATCCGTAAAGATTTCTTAAAATTCCCTTAGGTTCTTCAAGTTCCTTCAAATTCCTTAAGATTCCTTAACGTTTCCTTAAAATTCCCTAGGATTCCTTAAATTTGATGATCTCAAATGACATGCCCAATAAAATCGATATAAAGAGATCCTGGAAATGCACAGATTCCATTCTGCAAAAACATGTTCCAAACACTTATTTTTTTGCAATAAAATTCGTCTGGAAATGTAACATGTTAAAAAAACATCAGGATTTCCGTGGCCAATACAGACCAACCCCTTAGCAATAAAATGACTAACCTGACTCCAATATTGAAATTCCAATACATTACGGATCTCGCTTAGGCTATGCACAAGTCAACCACTTCTAGTGTGGAAATTGCAAGGGGGATCCTACAGGATCAACACAACACCCGATGCAGATTGAATCCTGCTATGTGCTACATTTTGAAGCTGGAAACTGCCATTTCAACTGTCTTTGCAACATTTTGGTAATTTCTAATTCCATTGAATTTACAACATGTCGACGCCATCCTTGGAAGGGTTGCTGGTGTAGAGATGTGCAATTGACGTTCCCTCGGAAGGGTTGCAAATTCAGCAGTTTGGAGTCTTAAAATTCCTGCAAAATACGTTGCGTACTGAACATGTTGCACATGCTCCCATGTGGTTAACAGGGAGCTGGGGGGTGAAGGTTTTTTTTGATTGTAACGTTTTTGATAATAAAAACAAAGACCGACGGAACTTGATGCTGTTGTCAACCTGTTGCATATGCTCTCTTATGGCCAACAGAGAACGTTCTGGACGAGGAAACGCCGGTGTTAACATGTTGCAAATACTCCTTATGGACAACAAGGGGATTGGGGTAAGGGGGTATACTGGCCAGCCTCCACATATGCCGGTGGCTCTTTGTGGCTTACGTGGTTGCAGGCTCCGCGAGAAAGCAAAAGTCCACACTACGGAGAGGATGGAAAAGCGGTTGTTGCTGATGCTGTTCACTCCTCTTGGCACATAAGATCTGTCCTAAATATGTTGTCGCTACCAATTACCGGATGATTTTTGCACATTTTGCTAAGGTATCTAGGTGGACTATAATGTAAACGTCCGCTGTATATTTACCAGGTGATGTTACAGGGCATGCATTTTGGAGCCACTCTGCCAGAGTGGCTGGAGCACCCACTCAGCCACTCAGCCACTCTGCCAGAGTGGCTGGAGCAGCCACTCAGCCACTCTGCCAGACTGGCTGGGGTGAAAATTTCCGCCATTGCGCGCGCAATCTAAGGTTAAGGCTTCTAACATCGGTTTGGTCTCGACCCCCAAAAAAATCACGAGGGCTGCCCTTGAAACCTTCCAGTGTTGCCACCGGTCAGGCACTGGAAACCACCGAAAGTTGAATGTCTAGTCTAGTGGTCCTTAACCCAAAAAAAACGTTGATGTGACCTGGAGAAGGGTTAAAAGATGTAACTTCAAAGTTGCGTGCCCAACTATGTCTACAGCATCGGAACATAACGTTTGTGATACTTGCCTCCTAGAATTTTAGAACATAGCTGAACATGTCTTTCGCCCCCCTGCATGCGAGACGAGTTTGGAAACACGCTGCACCAGGTGTTTTCTATGTGTTTAAATTCTGCTGCAACAACAAGGAACAAACGTCGTCGTTGAACAGCAACCGAAAATCAGCCTCCTAGCCAAGATTTGCCAGCTGTCACCAGCAACCGAGAGGAACCCATGCAAGTGCACGACCGGTGCACCCATTGTTCCAAAGGTTCGCAACATATAACAGACATCCATAAACGCGAATGTTGTTCCAAACCGCCGTTGAATCCATGCTTTTCTTTTTGCCACGTTGATGATTGATGCATCAAATGCTGCGCCATTTCTGTCTGGGCCAGTCCTAAAAAAATAATCAATTAATCTTCGAGGATGAAATAACAGGAGAAACAAAATATCTTGTAGAAAATAGTTATGTGGTAGATGTGATTAAAAAAGACAAAACTTAATAGAGCAACAACTAGATAACTTGAGTGAACTGAAGTTGGATGACGAGACATTTGTATGGCGTTGTTAATGCTTTCAACAAAGAAAGTCGTGACACGAATGCGTCTCGATATTTTCGCCGGCCCACGTGTATTTGGCACTTGGTCGCTGTTAGTTGGTCTGTGGTCATTTGTTGTTTATTGTCTGCTGCTGGATTCTTGTGGTTTGTGTATTGCCGTTTGTTGGTCGCGGTTGGTTGCTTGCCGTTTGTTGGTTGTGGTTTGTAGGTTCAGGTTTGTTGGTTCTGGTTTGTTGGGTCTGGTGTGTTGGTTGTGATTGTGGTTGTGGCCGCAGCTCTTGTTCTCGTTTTCGCTGTCGTTGTTGGTGGTGTTGTTGTTGTTGTTGTTGTTGCTGCTGCTGCTGTTGTTGCCGTTGCTGCCGGTGTTGCCGTTGCTGCTGATGTTGCTGTTGTTGCTGTTGTTGCTGTTGTTGCCGTTGCTGCTGTTGCTGGTGCTCGTGCTGCTGGTGGTGCTGGTGTTGGTGTTGGTGCTGGTGTTGTTGTTTTGCTGCTGCTGTTGCTGTTGTTGTTGTTGTTGTTGTTGTGGTTGTGGTTGTGGTTGTGGTTGTGGTTGTGGTTGTTGTTGTTGTTGTTGTTGCTGCTGCTCTTACTGTTGCTGTTGCTGTTTCTGTTGCTCGTGCTGCCGCTGCTGTTCCTGGTGCTGGTGCTGCTGGTGGTTTTGTTGCTGGTGCTGGTGCTGGTGAAAGATCTGGGCTGTGGCAACCGCGCAAATCTGCTTCTGGATGTGACATATCTTGTTTGCTTTGGGTTTTTGCAAAGCAGGGGCAGCAATGGCGTTCAACACATTTGGCTCAAGTCAGTAGAGGACCTGCCCTTGACCTGGCGATACAGGAGTACCCAGCGCGCCAGCCACGCGAGTTCGTTTGAATAGTTTTGGTGGTTGCCATGGGGCAAAAACCAAATTCCGGAAAGTAGCTACGTGATTTTCAGCCAGCCACGTTCAAGAATTTGGTTGTGCTTGTGGTATACATGGGGTGCGCCATTGTATTTCGTTTCAGAAAGGATTTCTGAACGACCTTGTGTTTGCGGTTTTCTGTCAGTTTCGTTGTCTGTAATCTTCTCGCAGCAAGTCATGCACCATCATTTTGTTGGCACGCAATTTGTATCCGAGATGATTTTCTAATTGACCTTGGAATCCAAGTTTTCATGGTTAAACTGGTCACAGTCACCAATCCTCTCCCAAGGCCGAAGTGGGGCCTCCCATGCATGGACCTAAGAAAAACCCAGCCGCGGTCCGCGCAAGCCCAAAAATCAGCCTATGGAGGTGTCCTGCAAGAAATTCTCCATCGGTTTTTCGTCGCCAAGTCGTTTCGGATTTCGGTTTCTTACTTGCCATCAGCCGACGTGGCGGATACGGTGTCAGCCCTGGAGATGGGATCCTGGGAGTTCCACAATGTGTTTGTGCGAATGCGTCCGAGAGGCGTAGACGAAGTCACGGCAAAACAGTGACGGTGTTTCCCTCCTTTCCTCATCTTTCCTCATCTTTCCTCATCTTTCCTCATCTTTCCTCATCTTTCCTCATCTTTCCTCATCTTTTTTTCTTTGCATTCAGAGAACTTTCTTCAATGAGTTGTCTACCCAGCATTGATGATCCCAGTTGTTGCGGCCAGGTTGGGGCACCTCCTTTCAAGTGACAACCCACCCCCAATGGAGATTCGGATCTCTAAGATCGGTGGTGAAAAAGCCGTAACTATTACCTGGATAGCTTATCTGGTTGGTGGTTGACCTACTTGGTTAATGGTGATTAATGGTGGTTAATGGTGATTAATGATGGTTAGTGATGGTTAATGATGATTAGTTATCTGGTTGGTGGTTGACCTACCCCTCTGAAAAATGATGGAGTGAAAGTCAGTTGGGATGATGACATTCCCAACTGAATGGAAAGTCATGAAATTCCATGGTTCCAAACCACCAACCAGTTTTGTTTTGTAAAGTTCTCTCACTTGCGATCGCAGTTTTCAACACCCCAACGTGACAACATGTGACAACTGACAGCAACGAGCGAGTTTGTGTCATGGTGATACTCGACCTTCAAAACGTGTGACATCATTTCAGGAACACGGTGTATGCGGGCAAACATTCAAAGCAAAAAAACAAACAGGTTTCAAGTCAATCCAACATCGGCACATCCACAGGCGCAACCAATCAGTTTCATGGCCATGAATCAGCTTTTCCGCAAAGCTTGCCGTCTCAGTTCGTAACACGCTGTAGCCGATTCATCACGCCATTCAAAACATGGCTTGAGAGCCGTCAGGAGGATCTCCATTATCTACTTGGCATGTCATTGTATCCATAGTGCATTTGAACATGTTTATATCTGGCCATATGTTTTGCTGCGTCTTTTGGATCCTGTCCAAACCATCTCCAGTTCTATCTCATGACATCACCGTGAACACTTGCATCACATAGATATGTAAAGATATGTAAACATATATGTAAAGTGTACCTCCCATGACTTGATCATGGCGTCAAAGCAAGAGTGACACAATTCTTCGTGTCAGGTGAAACGCAGACATTGCCACGCGTGAAAACCAACCGATCTCACGAACTGTGATATGCCATGGCCATCTAAGGGAAAATGATGATACCTTGATAAACTATTGGATTTTTTGGGTTGTAACCCCATTTTCGGACAACCATCTTGAATTATGTAGGCCAAAAAAAACAAACAGCAATTATTAACACACAGCTCATCACTACCAAAATTCAACCGCAGTGGTCTGCCGCGAGGCATGCAGTTTTTTTTTGCATTGTCCATTCACGTGCTCAAATGGTTTCATCTCCGGTAGAGTTGGGCACATACCAGAACCTGGGAGGGGCACCCCAACAGAAGCTTTGAACGGTTTACCCTCTGGTCATCTGCTACAGGTTGCGAAAGATTATGCTATATAGATAGACCAGAAAAGCTTCTCTTCGATGATTTTAGCATTTGTTTTTTTGTGATGTTCCAAGCATGTGGAAATTACATGCCATTTGATGCTGACGACAATCTTCGCTGAGTTCTCAGCAGCACGGCAATCACTGCATAAGCAGCACAAAGAAGGTAGCCTTGAAGCCAATTTGACCTCCAGGTTGAGTGGCTTCGCTTCATACTGAAAAGCATATCGAAACCATTTAAGAAAATATTTCCTGTGTCCTCCATTATGATGGTACTATTCATATGCTACCATAGTGTCATAGCGGCTTATCCTCCTGTATCTTCATGTTCATAATATGCTCATAATATGCTTCATATTGTTCCCCACTGCAACTCCTTCGTGTCTTGTAACGTCCGTCGTGCTGTGAACATCGTGCTGTCCTTCGTCGTCCATTCGTCAATTCTGAGGAGCAAACTGTCCGTCGACAACCATTGATAGCACCACTATGACACTCAGTGTCATCACCTCCCGACGTTGCTGGAGATGAAAAAACCATGCTTTCAGCCTGCAACCAAGGCATGAAAGATGGATACAAAATGATACAAAGTCTTTAAGTGGAACGTAATATGTTCATAACACGCAAAAATTAGTAGTTACTGTATCATAGTTACATGCCCATAGGATCCATCTATGGTATATATGCCCACATTTGGGATATATTGAACTTATCCATGTTACCATATATAGCAGCACCATGGATCCTATGGGATATAGCTGATGGAATTTTTCGCCAAGGCCATCCTCCAAGAAAACCTACCACCCAGCCACCGATAGCGACCAATTCCCAACCCACCCCTCGACTCAAAACTCGTCCCGACTCCGCGCCGTCACATTGAGAGCTCCAAAGTTCAGATCCATCCTGATCCGACGACGAACGGGTCGACATTTCTGGCATGGCGCCAAGCCCATTGTTACCCCATGGTGTGTCGGCTTTGTGTGTATAAAACCCCAGAAAATCCCAGGAGATCCATAACCAGATCATACCAGATCCATAGAAATTCATCACCATGTTTCCTGCTATCCAACTTTATCAGCTACCCTCTCGTAAGTTGTTACTGGTGAAGATCACCATGGTTTTTCACGGAAAAACTCATAGACGCAAAGGACATATGGGCCATCTATACTATATATTCCTATATATTATATACCATAGTAAGCTCTTCACCAGATCCAGCATGTTTGATGTTTCATCTGGTTATATAATCCCCGTCCGACATAACGTTGATCCCACTTAGTACCCTCTGGTAAACTAACATAGCTATGGAAAATCACCATTCTCAATGGGAAAAACCACTATAAATGGTCATTTTCAATAGCTATGTAACAAATTACCAGCTGGTATCCCACTTCTTTCATGGGCGAATCCCAGTGAAATCAGGTCATCCCAAATTTCGTTGTTGCCAATCGAGTCACGGCCGGTCAATGCACCAACCAACGAGTACAGAGAAGGGCACCACGAAGAGGGCGATTTGCCTTCGGCACATCGCTTTCAGTTGGTTTTTTTTGAGGGAAAAAAATCCGGGGCGATGTTTGACGAAAAAAAAACAAGAACAAAAGGATAGAACTGGCGCAAATTTCACCAGGATCTGAATGACTTGAGGTTAGGAGTGAACTTCGAGTGAACCACTTTCAACTGCTTCAATTGCATAGTTTTGGCGGGGTTGCTGCATATATAATAATGTATATATATGTCTATAGTTCTACCCAGAAATGGAAGGAACATGAAATTAATCACCAAGGATTCACGGCGGTTGGCCAAAAATGAATGGAATACCATTTTTGTTGGCAAAGTGTGGGCAAAATTCGTAAAATTAGTAGCACCTTTGGTAGGAAAATACCCGAAAGCTCATTGTAAAGATTTTGTTGACTCTGAAAAAAAACACAAAATACCATGCATGCCACCGGTATGCATGATGCATCACTTAGCTACAATGTGGCACCGCACTTAACTTCGTAAATGATACACCTTTCAACATTCATAATCAATCATAATCATATAATATCATAAGGGTGTATCTGAAAATTGGATACACAATGATACACACAAAAGTTGATGGGTTTAACATACCTTCTGGTAAACTAACATAGCTATTGAAAATGGCCATAGAAATAGTTGATTTTCCCATTGAAAATTGTGGATTTTTCCATAGTTACATTAGTTTACCAGAGGGTAAATTTCCTCATTAAAACTGTTCCTTATATGGTCTTACAGGGTATATCCCATGTTCAAAGCCATGTTCGCCATCGCGCCATCCTTGGAATCCTTGGCGCCCCCACGTTGACGAACCCACAGCAATGCCAATGGACAAGCCAGGCTTGTCCTCACAACGGGGGCCTTGAATGGGGGGAAATGGATTAGACATGGTACCATAATCTACCTAGATGTAGATTGCGATCCTGCAGATAGAATGGTTTGGAAAAGGCATCATAGTCTATTATATGTATATATATATTATATTATATTATATTATATTATATTAATATTATATATATATCTACTTCAGGACCACCATCATCCACTATCCATATATATATAATATTAAAATCCATACATCTAATACATCTTATATCTGTCGGTACATTTATGGAACATGATTTAACTGGCAGAATTACGGCCATCTGGTGATGATTCCCCGTCCAACATCATTCCAGTGACGAAAAGCAACGAGGTCATGATCAACTTCATCCAGATTTTTGGCATCACATTAATTAGTATCATCTTGTTAAGATACCCTCTGGTTATTTAACATAGCCATGGTATAGATGGCCCATAGAAATAGATGGTTTACCGGTTTACATATTAAAAATGGTGGATCTTTCCAGTTCGCTATGTTAAATAACCAGATGGTACTATTAAATTCCCAATCCTATGAATCCTATGAATATTCCAAGCAGTTCTTATTCTTACCTGGGTTATCATCATTTCTTCATTAGCTATGATCATAGTACCCTCTGGTAATTTAACATAGCTATGGAAAATCACCATTTTCAATGGGAAAATCCACTATAAATTGTCATTTTCAATAGCTATGTTAGTCATCACCAGAGGGTAATTCATCCTATGAATCGCCTAAATTTTTCGCATCCCATTCCGCCATTTTCCCCCAAAACCGGGCATGATCTCCTGCATGGCAAAGCGCACCGCCGCAGCATGCTCACAGGCGTTGCCCACAATGGGCAACAGGATGATGCCAATGAAGTGCTCACCTAGAAATGGCGCGTGGCTAAAAGGGTAAAAGTTAGGACAGGTCCGTTTAACGATGGTTTAACCATCAGTCCAGTATACTATATATATATGTATATAATTATATGTATAATTATACAATAGATAATATTATTTATTATAACGTAATATATATATATAGATAATATCCACAGTGTGTGTGCGCATAAAACCATATATTTCAGCTATATTATGTATATATATATACATATGGATTGTATATTATCAACTGAAATGTCATTTCTATGAACATGTTCTGTTCTTTTCCCTCTTGGCCATTTGGGATTCCCAGATTTTTCAGGCTCAATGACCACCTATCTATCCAGGTGCAGGTGAAAATGGGCTAGACTCCACTGGGAAATGGGAAATCCCCTAAGTAGTGCTGGGCATTTACAGTACCCTCTGGTAAACATACAAAAAGCTATTGAACATGGCCATAGATTTATAGTGGATCCATTAAACATATAACTCAAAATGGTGATTTTCCATGGTTGTTTGTATGTTTACCAGAGGGTAAATGGGAGAATCATCGAACGGGGATTTTCCCCCATCGCTGATTGAGGACTCTGGGATCCTCCCACCCATGTGAGCATCTGCAGTCATGTTCTCAATGGAATCCACCTCAGTTCCAAGTAGCCACGTCTTAATAGCTGCCCAGTCTGTCTCTGCCACAATTTTTTTTTGGCCACACAAATCAGCAATTTCCATCCGTTTCCCAAACAATTTCATCTGGTTGGTGGTTTCAACCCCTCTGAAAAATGATGGAGTTCGTCAGTTGGGATGATGACATTCCCTTAACTATATGTGGGAAGTCATAAAATTCCATGGTTCCTTAAACCACCAACCAGTCATAGTTCAATTTGCACCAACACCACAAAACTCACCGACTGATTCCCAGTACCTGGTGGAGGTGGTCATGGGATTCCCTCTCAGCTGGGTACCAAAAGGTCCGAGCAGAATGCCACGATGGATGTCATCACGAAAAGCAGTACCTGTACCGAGCAGCCCAGCCGAGAACAAAGACTAACACCATGCTACCATGCTCCAATTCCTTGAGATTCATATGATTCAATAAATATGTATCAAATATTATGAATTAAAAGATAATGAAAAATATGTATATATATTTATATGTTATATTACTATAATATATATATATATTATATTGAAAGACTTTTTAAATAAACTTTGAATAGTTTTATAGCCCATTGCAGTTACTTGATGGCGTTTCCTGCATGGCCAAGGTCGTCGCCGCGTCGCTACGGCTTCCATCCAGTCCATGAGAACTGGACAATGACAACCCCAAGTCACAGATGCCCAAAAAGTGGGAAACCACTGCCAAACTAACATAACAATAGAAAATCCATGGCGAATTCCACTGGTGATATTCCAATGGCGATAAAACAACAGTTCCCTAATGGTGATATTCCAATGTTGTGAATATCATCGAACTAACATCCTGGAAACACTGGCCATTGTCCTTTTTTTGGAGGTTACTATAAATCCTTTTCAAGCGCCTCTGTCACAATGAGATTTGCATACCCGGGGCACGGCAGCGGTCGTGACAGTGATTGAGCCCTCCTGCAAAAACTCCGTAGACCGCTGCTTCGATAGAAACCGGAAGCATGAATCGATTCATCGATGGTGGGGTTAGAGGGAAAAGAACATGAAAAACACATGGAAAATCTAGAGGATTTCCATGAACAACATTGAAAAAACCTTCATTTCCTGTAGTTAGAAAGCGTTCATTTCCTGTAGATCCCTTAAACCAACGCAATAAATGACTGCTTTTTGGAAGGGTTTGGTACCCTGGCTCGTCCAATCCCCCATTTTTTAATGGCACGGTTAATTTATGGTACCTTCTCGAATCTATAAATCCAAGCCTTTAAAGGACGAAACCAACCTATCCAAAGGTTTTGGATATTTTAGTGGTTTTGGAGACCTATGTATGTATATTATTTATATATAATTATATATATATATCCATGATTATCCAATATGTATCAATATATAATTACTCTACAAGTATGTGGTATGATTTGCAATCTATTGTGGTCGCAATCTAATAGTTGAAGGGAAAGGATGAACTCCACATCCCCATGGCTGGCGGATGCCTCTTCATCATCGTCTCCGTCACCGGTGTCTGCCATGACCTCAAAAAAACAACAGTTTGGTGGGCGATTTCGTCCGCTGTTCACCGTAAATATCAAAGAAAAAATGGAGTTATTTGAAGAAATGAACCAATGGAGAGAGTCTAAGATGTACCAAAAAAAAATGCAGAAAGTCCTCAGAACTGGTCAAAAATGGATGAATTGTTTGGAACGAAGGTTAACACTATATAGTCTAAGGTTCGGAAAAGCCCCAACATCCCCTAACTAAAGAAGATGAAAACGATATTTTGAACCACCAACCAAATCAGAGTACACCTGAGCGCTGTGTTAAATTCACAGCTCTGGGATCAAGTTTCACAGGGCTTGCTTTGCAAGAAAAAGAACCGGGCAAGATCAACAAGGTTTAGGTTCTATAGGAAAAACCATGTTCAGCAAGGTCATATGATGTCATGAAATGCCACAAATATCATATGTATATAGCACCAATATGATCCATTATGTATATTTCCATCTGCCAGGTTTTGCATTTCAACACCTTGGTTGGAACACAATTACGCTTCCAACAAAGGGAAACTCAAAAAAAGGACCCTCGGAGCGAGGCTCTCCCCAGTGAAGCCACCGATTCATCACCGATTCTGAGGAGCCAGCGGTTCTATGCGTAAAAAGCTGAAATACGATGTACCTGTCACACTGGACTCGGCTACGTGGATGTCTGGTTCATTGGATTTCATTGGTTCAATGTTTTTCAATATACCTATAGCCAAAACCCGAAAAAACCTAGGTACCATTAAAAAAAAAACATGCTTTTCATGGATGTTTATTTCACCAAAAATTGGAATACAGTAATGGGTTTTGACCCATCCCCATACTGTTAACATATAGGTGTACACCTCTTGACCATTGCTTTCCTTTCCTTAAAACTCGCCAAAAACTTGGATGATAACTTGTGGTCTCCCATAACTAACTTAGGAAACCCTAACAAAATCATTACCATCTACAAAGATTTCTCTTGTGAAACGAATCTCTCTAATATACCTATATACATATTCATATTTGTTACAAGTATATGCCTTGTTTGTTAAGTATTGTACCTGAATTGATATGATATCATAGATACCGTATATATTATGTCATTACATTATTATGTATATATATATATATAGTTTTATACTTATCATATTAATGTTATAAATACAGCTTGTATTTATATATTTATTTGTATATATATATACATGCATCTATACACATGCATACATACGTGATATGAATATATATAGATTTTATATGCATATATACATATCCACCACATTTTAGGAGCCCCGAAGTGATGCTCCATGTCGTTTTTGGCATCATAACAATCATGTTATTGGCTCACGCGACGTAGGCCGAGATGATGATGATGGAACAGGTCCTTGAGATCGGCAGCATGACCTCCTCTAAACTGGCATTGTCCATCTTGTATTGCCCCGCCATCATCGTACCAAAGACGGTGACCTCCGATTCGGCGAGATGTGGCTTTTCGTGACATGGATGACATGGACGGTGTCCGAAAAAAGTGGATTTGGGGCTTGATTTATGAGGATTTATATGGTCATATGAGTCATATACGGTCAATTATGATCATGCATGGTGAGAATATGGGAATTTGACGGAATTTGGGTGAGATATGGGAATTTGATGGTCACGCTGTGAATCGCTGTGATGGATCTTGAAAGCAACAACTTGATAGGGCTTGTGTGATGTTCAGAGACGAACTCTGAGAGCAGCACGAGGGTGAACGATAAGCAGGATAGGAGCAGCATGGAAGTGTTGACCTTGGGAAAAGATTGGAGATGGGTCAAAACGGCCGACCCCTCAAAACGGATGTTTTTTTCGTGATTGGTGACCCAATGTAACCCCGAAGAATATAGATAATATAGATACTTGATCACTATTAAAAAATGGAATGTTTTCACATGTCTGCGTACGTTTCTTAAGGGCTTGCTATATACCAAAGTGTTGCCCGGCTTTCGCTCCAGACAGGTACCTGGATGACTGGCTAACCATCCGCATCTGGCTCTTCGACCATCCAAAATTCATGAGTGACCACTTGGAAAACCACTGAAAAACCATCCAAATCAAGACATAACAAACAACCGTATACTTTGATCCATAATGATCTAGGTATGAGCAAAACCATGCGCAACCCTGGCACCCTGGTGCCTAAATAGCTGGAATTTATTGATCTTCATCCTCTGGTTGCTTGTATTTTATAGGTCTTGAAATCCGTCCGGAAAACGCCGCTAGGAATCCGACCATGGCTCCCAGTATCTTAAAGGTCTGAACCTGGAGCAGAGCTCAGTTCTGGCTTTTTTTATGATGGGGACGGAAATGACTATAGTCTATGGATGTATGCGGATCCTTACTGGTTGCACGGTTGATCATGGTTGCACCTAGTCTCCTGAAACTCCAAGTTTCTGTTGAGACTTCCTGTATTCAAGATGTCCAAAAATGACGTCCTGCTTCCCTGCAAAAACTCACCGCATGTAACGTGGCCACAAGATGTGTCCAAAATGTCTTGGTCCCAAAAAGTCAAGATGTGTCCATTGAAACCCTGTGATACTCCGGGGGTTCCGCACTTGATATCTCTTCCCCCAGAATCGAACAACATCTGCTGATATTTCATCCTATCCTACCCCAACCATTTTCACCAATCCTTGAGAAAATTCCAGCCACCAACTTGCCACCAGACTTTTTCGAGCCGGGAAATCCTCCGAAATCGGGAAAACCCATGGGTTTTAGCCAATTTTTGCCACCACGCCCATGGGACCCATGCCCCTCCGATCCCCTCCGCCTTCTCTGCCACCACACTGTATCCTCCGGTTTCTTCCTTGTCTAACTTATCCAAGAGCTCTGGATCCTTCAAAAAACGATCCCAGGGCCCAAACAAAGGCCCTGCGGAAAAGAGAAAACGGAACTCCAAAGTCTTCTAACATCACAAACAATGTGTGTGTGTTTTACATATATTGTTGAAGTATGTTGAAGTATTTGAAAAAATATTTAAAACCTCCAAACTCTCCAAATGATAAATGCAGTCTTCCAGCATCTTCCAGCTGTATATATAAATCGATTTTTGATATCATCAAATAGTACTCGATCATGGACTGAAAGGAGAGTCACCTATGTGTTCCCCATGATATGTTTCGCCATGGCTTCGCTATGCGGCTGTTCACTTCGAAAAATCCGTGTCCTCCATCTTCTGAGAGTTTCGGACAGATGGCCTTCTTTGCTCCTCCTGTCGAAAAGTGAAGATTCGACAAAAAAGGGGAATCAAACTGATATCCATTGGTAGAACTCCAAGAACATTAGGGACTTAGAACATTAGGGACTTCTATCTTCTATCCTTTTTTCTGATCATATTAGCTCATCATTATTGTAAAATACCCCAAAATACCCCAAGTCTTGTTGATATCATGATCTTTCCATCCAAAAAAAACCACCAGGGTCGCCCCAGGGCATGGGAAATTTTCTCCTTGGCCTTGGCTTCGGCCTTTCCGGACACATTGACCTTGCCCCAACGGCTTGACCCATGCCATGGTCACCCCACGATTGGGGCGTTCCTCACAGGAAGATGAAATATATGGGTATTGGGTAATGGGTATTGGGTAATGTGGTAATGTGTGAATCATATAACCATTTACAATATTGATATATATATATATCCAATATATGGCTGGTTGGTGGTTGACCTACCCCTCTGAAAAATATGAGTTTAGTCAGTTGGGATGATGAAATTCCCAATATATGGGGAAATAAAAAATGTTCCAAACCACCAACCAGATATGAATGAATGGGAAAAAAAATAGCAAAAAAAACGTCTGCTAAGGTGGACATAGAGTTGCGTCCCCTCCGGGTTGCTAATGGTTGCTATCGATATAATCTTGTCCGCAGCATGGTTGCAACAAAGGTACCAGGCCGCCAAAAAGGAAAGACATGCCCAGAACGAGCAGAACATTGGAGAGCACCGAGCCTGCCCCAGCAACCAATGAGACACACTTGGGCTTTCTCAATGTTGAACCCCAAATCCCTTGTTTTATCGTCATGTTGTGAACATTGCCATTTTGGATCATTCTTGGGCTATCCGTTTCCTGTGTTTTCGGTTTAAAAAAAGAACAATTGGATCTCTCTGGATCATGATCAAACTCATTGCACCTCACAGGAAAACCAATCATAGATACAAACCGAAGTGGTCAATAAACAGATCAAGTAACTGATTTTTTTTATAACCCATAGCATCATATAGGATCCATGGTGCTGGGAGAAAAATGCTAACATCAAGGGGGTATAGTGATGGGATCCATGGAGCGCCATATATAGCAGCACCATGGATCCTATGCCCAGATGCTCCATGTATGGAATATTTACCAACATTTGCCCTAAAAATCACCCAAATGTAGGTAAATATACCATACATGGAGCATATGGGATGGGTAACATATATCAACTACGACCCAAACAACGCTGACAACGCTGGTCCCGAGTCGCTAGGGTCGTCCCAAATCATCGTTCCAAGTTGACGAAGGCGCCTAGCAACGTGGCTTTCACCACGGCGTATAAGCCACCACGGAGAGTTTGCACCTGGCCCAAAGGCCACCAGGTAGATATCCCTGGTGGTGGGAGTAGGGTGAGAAAAATATATAAATCACTAGGCTGAACTAAACACTAAGATCATTATATATATATATATATGTATCCATTATAATAGAATAGAACTCCATTATAACATCACCAACATCATTATACATATCATAACCAACATCATTATAACCCAACATCCAAGCATCCACCAGAACGCCAACCAACACATCAACGCTCACCGTGATGACCATCTCCACCGCATTTCCGAAGGTGGCCTCAGTTCGACTCGCCGACGCACGAGTAGGGCCCCGGGCGGTTGGTCGAGTTCGGGGGGGTTCACCAAAATGCTGGAAGACTGTTGATGAATCATTTGGAATGAATCAAAGATATATGTATATATATAATATAATATATATACATATTATATATATATATAACTATAATATGTAGATATATATATAATATAATATATATATAACACATACAAACCAGTAATATGTATCTGAATTGTATCTTAATGGAATACTGGTGAATTTTCTGAATATCCTTTGGTAATCAAACATGGCTAGCTGGGAAATGTCCAAACTCAATTATATAGCAGGGAAAACCATCGAACTATTGCGGATTTCTCAGCCAGCCATGGTTGATTGCGGGAGCCTGTGACGCCGGTGACTGTTAAACCATCTATCATCACCTGTTGCTTGTGAAAATTTGGGGCTTTTTATGTTTTTTTTAACTGTTTTTTCTGAAAGTAGGGTACCATAGGGTACCAAATTTCGGTGGGTAATCATCATTTTACCTGTGATATGAGATTGCTGATGATTGCTGGTTGGTGGTATACCAACCCCTCTGAAAAATGATGGAGTTAAAGTCAGTTGGGATGATGAAATTCCCAATATACGGAAAGTCAGAAATTTCATGTTCCAAACCACCAACCAGCTATATATATATACTGTATATATTCACCCATTAATCAGGGTATCATATACCCATCAACCACCCATCATTTTTCCTGTTATCTTAGATTGTTACTTATGGCAATTGTATTACTCCTTATTACGCATTACTCCGTCAGGCCACTGGAGACCTAATCCTAATCCAATGAAACAGCTTTGGTGAAAGAGAAAATGTACAGGAACCCCCGGCTTAGGCCCTATATTTACTGGTAAAAACCTTGTAAAAACCATGTAAAAACCATGTAAAACCCATGAAAAACCCATGAAAAACACCCATGGTTTCCTGTAGATTTTCCCGGCAAAAGCCATCCATTGAGTGTCGGCTCAGTGTCTGACATTGATGAGCCCCGCCAGAAGATCATTGCGGAGCCCCGCAGCCAGCTCCTGCGCTGGCTGCGCTGGCTGCGAAGCAACAAGCATCCCAAATTGGGTCATTTTACCAAATTTAGGTATTAGACCTATCACAAATTATACCTAAACAGATTTATAGGTCATTTGATGGTATTTGGAATGGTTCGATGGCCTTGATGATTTAGGTCGGATTTTTGGGATGCTTCAATGATGGTTCTACGAAAATGTTGATCAAGATTGATCAAATCTCTGTTGCAACAAATGAAGTGATCCAGCAAAAATCCAAAAAAGACGGTTTCAGTGGATTGTTGGATTGCTCTTCCAGCAAGTTGCAGGAAACTTTGAAGCTTTCACCATCTGTCACCCCTCCAAAGTATCGGGACCCTGATGACATCGTTCAAATTTGTGCTCATCCCAAGATTGGGAAGGAACAAGATCACCCAAGCTTCATCAATTGGTGGTCCCAAAAGATCCCCACTTCAGATTCAGCCTCCGTGATATCGCCCAGAATCTTTGCCATGGGTAACATGGCCTGGGGTTGGTGACTGCCGTGCCAGGCGGGGCCACGGTGGTTTGGTGGTTTTGTGTGGTTTAATGTGCTGAACCCCATCACAAACCTCTAGTGGGGGATGGATGGCTACTGGGTTCACCGTACTAATCCCGTTCTTTTTGTGGGGTGTTCAATAGTAAGTTAAGATTTACTGGTTGGTGGTTGACCTACCCCTCTGAAAAATGATGGAGTGAAAGTCAGTTGGGATGATGAAATTCCCAACTGAATGGAAAGTCATAAAAGCCATGTTCCAAACCACCAACCAGGTAAAGTTAAGATTTAAGTAGCCTTCAATGATCTTCAATGCCCACAAGCGTGGCAGGGTGACAAAGAAATTGAGCCAGAAAGTGTAGGCCGAATTCCACCTCGGCCCGGGGCTGGACGGCCATTGATGACTGGCAGTGACTGGAGGACGCTGACGCTTCAATGATCCGGGCCTGGCATAGTAGGACCATATGCCAAAGGGCACACAGATCATGAAAATACTCAACCTGGCGGTCAGGGGACTGTGAAAGACCCAAGACTTCTCCGATCCTCAACTTCAATTTTCACTGATTCAATGATTCAAAGGACATAATTTCCTGGAACCCCCATCTGGTTGCTACCCGGCTGCTACCCCCATGCTACCCCCAAATTTAGGCTGTTGGGGAACTTTGGGGAACTGCTCAACTTCGAAAAAATCTTGAGAAACTACTCGGCTCCAACCAGATAATCCGTCAGGAGAACGGATGCTTGAAGATTGCAATCAGCCCAGTACCTGCGCCATGGTTTGGTGTCAAAGCCCACCAAATTTTCTGATCTGTTGCTCGGTTTCAGGCTGGTAAGACCCGATCATGGGGCCCGGGGCCCTAAATCTACGGCCAATGGGAAAAAACGCAACAGAATCATGGGATTGAACAGGGTAACCAAACCATTTCAGACGCAATGGGTTGAGGAATGTTGAGGATAAGTCTGGGCCATGTCTGCACCTTTCCCGGATACCGTGCCTTCGAAATTGGACGGTTTCTTCACATTGGTGCCTTTCACGAACCTGCGGCAATGAACTGCACATTTTCACATCATTCACTTGGAGCAACTTCACATGTCACCGAAATATACTATAAAATACATTGAAGTACTGCATCTTCAAACCTCAGCATTATCATTAATTGTTACCGTGTGAAGCGAGTATATCCACAAGGTATCACCAGGTTATTTCACAAAAGAAAACTGATTCGTGATTCTGGCTGCCCTTTTGCGATATTTACCAACATTCATCCGATAATTTTGCAAAAGTGTAAGGGCTCGACCCTTTCGTGCGAGAGATGGGAACGAAACTATCGACATGTCAAAACAAATTTATCAGCCCAACATTAGCCGAAGAAAAACCCGAAGAATTAAAAAAACCGGACCTGGTGGTGTTGTGTCGTTCAGCTCTTCTACTGCCAATTCCTTCTTCGGCCATGGCTCAATGTGTGGATCGATTTGACCCGGAAAATCTCAGGGAAACATTGACTGAAATCCATTCTTTTTGGAAAAAAACACTGGAAGTTTCGATGTTTGGATCCTTAAGTCTCACGGATCGGTCATGGAAATCTACATTTCTTCTGCAGCAAAACAAGGTCATCCCCGCCCTGTCGCATTGTTCGCAAACCAGGCAGCTGAGCCCAAAAAAAAGCGGTCATGATGTGGTCATGATGTGGTCATGAGTCATGTTTAGGATGAAACTATATGGAATCTTGGGGGTAAAACATGGCACCACTTTCAGCCATTGCCCAATGGTTCCAAGATCAGATCTCAGGCTTAAATCATTTAGAAGTTGGTGAAAGCATGAGCCACGATCAAGAGTCCAAGGGCACAACAAATGGCTGCGTTGAATTGAATCATTGGAAGCATTGGAAGCATCCGCATCTCTTTTCCCCGTGTTGCCTGTAGATGCCTGTAGCATCTGGCCACCTTTGCACTTAATGATCTTGATGGATTTCAAAAAGCTTTGCAAATCCTTGGGAATCGGATAAAAAACATCTTGCAGATCCCTCACGTCGCTATCGCCGTCGTCCAAGCCATTCACTTCCATGATCCATTCGTCGGACTCACATCGATCCCTGAGCTGCAATTCCATGTCACCTTCAGCCCATGTGTCGTGGAAAGCCAAATGATGACGGTGGAGGAAATTCCGGTCTACTCCACTTGTCAGGTCCCCTTCAAAGACTGGTCCTGCAGTATACTTGCCATCACAAAAAAGTGGATGTCCAATGAAGGCAAAATGACTCCGAATCTGATGCCTTCGCCCAGTTTGAATGCGAATCAGCAGCAGAGACGCTGCTTGAGCCCCTGAGTATCTCAGCTCTTGCACCAAAAATCGGGTCGCGGCATATTTCCCCAGTCCATTGCAAAAGCTGAGCTCGCCGGGCTCAGACTGCTCGGAGACCTGCCAAGACACGGGAGCAGAGATGGCACTTCGACCCACCAACCAACCATGACACAAGGCCACATAGTCCCTGAGAACACGTCCTGCTGCTAGCTGCAGTTGTAACTCATAGAAGGCTTCATAGCTCTTGGCCATGAGAAGCAGCCCAGAACTGGGAACATCCAAGCGATGCAAAAAGCCATACGAACTGCGTGGGTCCTTCAAAATGGGAAAGGCCGTGCCCCGGCTCCCCCACCTTTGCCACACGAAGTGTACCAGCTGCTGAGCCCCCTGGCTGCCATCATGAACTTCGTAGCCAGGTGGCTTGTACAGAACCACTTTGTCCAGAGATTCGTAGACCAAAAGTGGTGACATATCTGAGTTGGAAGGACATATGGCTTCCAGGTTTTGGTCTTTTGAGCCAATCTGGGAAGAAGCTGCCCTTGTTTCTCTGCTTTTTGATGCTTCGTCCAAGGATTTTCCAATGGCTGACAGAACACGGTGCGTCTTATACTGGAAATTGGATCCCAAAGCACGCTGCTGTTTGCACGACCAGACTATACCCAGAATCCTTTCAATGAATTCTTGGGGCAAATACATGTCGTACATGCCGTTCTGGGATTGCAGCAAGTCCTGTTCAATCTCAATGGCCTTCTGCTGAACGAACCACAGCAGTGGAGTGGGGTCCAATCCCGGTATTCCAGCCGCTCCCCATGAAATCAGCATCAGTTCATGTAGCTGGCACCTCGGCAACAAGTGCCTTGAAAGCAGCAGCAGGAGATCTCCAAAATGCCTCGGTACGGATTCAACGCCCAAAGATGCCAAGGACCACCAGCATGCTGCAACTTCCGATGCCGTCAAGGATGCAGAACCTTCCCTCTTTCCCATCCCCTTCAGCATGGCATAGGTATCCCCTAGCACCGCCAGAAGTTCCACCGGATCCCGTTGCTGAAGCCGTGCCAAGGTCCAAGTATGATCGATGGGAGACATGTCATGGCGCTCCAGACAGAGACTGAGGGCAGCATGCTGTGCCCCGCAGGCTGCGCAGGCGCCCACGGCTGCCCGGTAACATGCCGCATCCATTGCCACCCGCGCAGCTTGCAACTCCTCCAAGAGGCGAAGGGCTGAGGTCCACTGCCGTCCGTGTCGGCAGGAATCCACGCAGGCAGTGTGCAAGGCCAGGTCGAGATTCGCCAAAGTCGCGCGGCTCATCTGTTGTAAGGACTCCAGGGGCCATCTCCAGTTGCCCTTGCAGGCACCGGCCGTCATTTGCCACGCGGTTTGATCTGGCTGAATCGCCATTGCTTTGAAGGATGACATACAGCTGAGGCCTCGTTTCCAGCTAGAGCTAAGCTCTGCACTGAGCATAACCTCATCAATTGATTCAGATGGTCTAAAAAAATGCAAAATATTCCCTTTATAGCAATGGGGCATGGGTCAAAATTGGGTACCCCAATGGTTGGATGGTCAATAACGTTACAAAAATAGATAAACATATTAAAAATAGACTCTAGACTAACCCATACTAACCCATATCCCATATATTAAGCTTCCCCATTTCTAGTGGATTTACCGGAAACACACCTCACACATATCATTCATCACTCAGCAAATCGAAGCGAAACGTGGAGGCTGATGACATCCACCCGGAACGCGCCGGAGCGAAGGGTCGCGCCGAAGAGCTCCAGGGCTTCGCGCCAGGCGCTGCTTTTGGACTGGCTGCTGAGGGCAGAATTCGTCGCAAAGTTGGATCCGGATCCACCGGATCCAACTTGGGAAAGCTGAAAGTGAAAGCCACCCAGTTGCCCCATGGCCAAGAATTCCAAAGATCTTTCCCAAAGACGGCTTTTTTCCAGCGCACTCAGAGCCGTAGTCAGACTGCAAGCATCCGTCCGCAAGGTGCCTGGCATCATCTCTGCAAAGAGCGTCAGCGTTTGGCGCCACACATCGATTGGTGCTCCAGGCTGCCCTACTATGGCAGCCATGGCAGCCATCAGCCCGTTGTGTGCAAACTCATCCAGTGGCACAGTTGCTGAACGGCAAAAGCGTAGGAGTGAAGAGGCCCGTTGCCACTGAACCCGCTTGGCACAAGCAGTCACAGCCTTACTGCTGCAACAAACTGATTTGTGCCACGTAAGATCTTGGCACCGCACGTGTTGCAAAACAAGGAGCTGTTCCACGGCAGTTAACCAGCCAGCCATTCTCAACGAGCGTCACCAGCGTTTTCCACTGGAAAGGAGAAAAGAACAGCCGACAGCCAGCTGATGAGCAACGAAAATGCTCTCAGACACAACACTGCCCGACTTTTTTTGTTGCACAATGATCACAATTTATCACACTTTGTGGTGGTTTTCACAGTTATCACATTGTTATTACATGTTATCACATTACCACTATGATCGAATCTATTATCAGTAGGATCTCACAACCTCTGATAATGGGTGTATCACAATTTCTCACACCTGGTGATAGTTCGCAGATCTGCTGCGGCAGATTCAGCTTCACATCATAGCTGCACCCGCAACGCTGGGCCAGCTTTGAACAAGAGTTTCACGACTCGGAGTCACAAAAGACCAGAGAAGTTTCAGCGTCTAAGTCTGAACAGTCTGAACCGAAATCAATGAACTCATCGAATTCATCCGCTTCAACATTCAACATCCAACCTCTACCCCCATTGGTCACCATCCCCCACCAGGTCCTTTTTGCGGCACAAGCGGGTCAATCCTCATCGAGGTCGTCCAAGTCGTCCTCCTCACCAAAAAGGGCCGCGTCGTAGACCAGAACTTCTGACCTTAGCACAGCAGCCCCAGCTGGGTCGGCCTGAAAATGATGGCATATTGCCATGGATAGTTGAATAGGAAAATGGGATCACCATCATTTTTCCTATAGCATGGTATACCGCCAAATGGCTAGTTGAATAGGACAAATCATGGAAAGATCCATTGGGAATTGGTGGTGACCGTATTTTTCGACAAACCCATTAATGATGTCGTCTTAAACTACAAGTGAAGGAGGTTTTCGCAGACATTTTAAGGTAGTTCTACCACCTTTAACCCTGAATCATAGATACATAGAACTACATAAATTTATATTATATAAGGCACCAGCCCCCTGATTTCCTGCATGTTTCTTCTGAGACACATCAGCCCTGGCTGAGGCCAAAGCTTTGAGTCCTTGTAACCATTTTCTTTGCCTGTCGCTATTCGGCTTCTCTACTCGGGATTTCATGGCTATTCATGGGGATAGAGTAGAGATCTAAAATGATCTACCCTCTGGTTATGACTAACATAGCCATGGTATAGATGGCCCATAGAAATAGATGGTTTACCTATTAATAGCATGGTGGATCTTTCCATGGCAAACTGTTAGTCATAACCAGATGGTAAATGGGATCATCATGGGATGTATCACCAGCTTAGGAAAGCTCGGCTGTCTCTGAAAAGGGCTTCTTGAAAAATGGCAAAAATACCATGATCAAATGATCAATCAGATTGATTATACACAAAAATCAATCATCCAATGATCAATCATCAAATTTGGAGGTACTCGATTTTCAACTCGATTTTCAGACAAACCATTAAATGAACTTGAAATGCGCTGCCATTGATGGAACAATCAGAATTATACTAATGATAATAATAATGATCACACTTTATAGTAATAATCTGTTGTGCAATGTTATTGAATCTTGCTTCTTCGGGCTACACCGGCCCTAAACCCATCAAACAAACATCAACCATTTTGGAGATATGTTGGCCCAACAGAACAAAGAAACGAAACGCTGGATAGTGAACCGTTGATCATCACGGGGGGTCAAAGTTGCGGTATGGATCTAGACTCACATGGACAAATAGGTAGTACTGTCGCCTTTATTGTCTTACCCATAGGATCCATGGTGCTGGTATATCTAACATGTGGGGTATATTGATGGTAAATGTTACCATATATAGCATACATGGATCCTATGGGTTATAGTTTCAAGAGACCGGGAAGAAAAACATGATGAAACAAGTGTTGTGAGATATAAAATCAATGATCAAAATGACCAAAAACTGACTTCCCCCCAACAAAAATATGCGGTACACGCTCCCTCCAAGTAACTTGAGGGGTTGGAAGACTCCTTTCCTCTTGGCATTGGGGGTTCTCAAGGTTGATATTGGACCATCTGCCAGTGATCTGACCCCATGTGGCCATCTTGATGGTGTTTAATGTGGTTAAAACAATAATAAACCACCCCCCAAATCATCATAAATGGTTGGTACAAACCAAACATGGGCTGGTTTTGACATTGGTTCTTACCCACAAAAAAAGTCAACCCCAAAATGTTCCTGGTGACTTTAAAATTCCACCATGGGAAACGATTGGACATCCAAAAATCAGATCTGTAATGGTCCCAGAGTTTCCCAATAGCTTCCCATCATGGGACCATTTTCCCATCATTCCAATGTATGCCCATGACTTTCCCATCAGCCCCATATGGTGATTTCCATAGTCATGGGGCTACCCCAAGCGAGCATTGGATGGTCTATTTCAAAACTCCATGGATGCTTTAGGGCTACCCCCATTTAGGAAACCACCCCATATAATATTACGATACACTGTATAGATACACACTGTATATTGTCATGTCTTATCACTACGTACCCTCTGGTAAACGTTTACATAACTATAGAAAATCACCATTTTCAATGGGAAAATCCACTATTTCTATGGTCATTTTCAATAGCTATGTTAGTTTACCAGAGGGTATGTTCATCAATCATGGGTATCCCCATTCTCCTTCCGCACTCCACAGACCCAGTTTTTTTCTCTCGGCCTCCTTCACCGTCCTGGCTTTGAGAGAAGATCATCTTGCCCGTCCTGGCGCGGACACTTCGCGGACACCGTCAGGTGGCTGTGATTGTGATTTCGGCTGAGTCCTCGAAATTTCGGATGGCTTAACCGTTAAAGACATGGCTAAAAATATACGGCTTTACAAGTCTTGTCTTACATGTTTTTTATGTGGTTTTATATCTGGTTCTAAATGGTCGTATATATGGTTTACGGATGTTTACGGAATGGAAACTGATATCATTGAATATCATTGATGGTCCATACCAATATACCCAAGATTGACCCAAACCCACATCTTGTCTAGGGTTGAACCACACAAAGAAGAATAATCCCCCGCATGCTTGAGGATGCTGCAACGTTAGACATACCTTCTGGATTTCTGGTAACTTAACATGGGCATGGAAAATCACCATGTTCAATAGGTAAAACATCTATCAATGATTGTAAATGGGCTATTTTTCATAGCTATGTTAAATTACCGGAGGCTTTTCCATGGACAGCTTCGAAGCTATCCTCGATTTGCTCTCATCGCGCTTCAGCAGGCCGATCTCGATCATCTCGGCATCAAATTTTGCCTCGGCGATTCAACAAACCAGATACATCTACTGCGCATTTGAAAATCCCAGAAATGGATTATAGACTAATTATAGATCTATTTCATTGTTGGATGTTATCATCAAATATCCCCATCATCCCATGAACATTAGATCCCCTTCATGGATGGTATACAGTGTCTGGTTGGTGGTTGACCTACCCCATTTTTCCATTGCCAATGCTGTGTCAATTGACACGTGGTCACATGCACAACTGGGCAACAGCTTCAGACCTGATGGTGGTAGTCAGGTTGGACAACTGTTGTGTCTTCGAAGCTCTGTTGCAGATATGGGTGAAACTCTTCTGGCAATTCGGTGGCTTCTGCTCCATTGGCCAGCTCATGGGCAAACGCATACATCGCATTGCCCAAAATGAGATTCAACCCAGGTGGGTAAACCTTTGCTTTTGCAGTCTGGTAGGATCCATCTGATTGCTTTCCTATCAGCGCCTCATGAGTGCCTGGCAAATGGTCACATCTTCCAAATCGTCCTTGTTGGAGGAGCGCATTGCGAACACCAGGGAGACGGAGCAAAAGAAGGGTGGTAGGTTTTTCCCCGCAGCACCGCACGTGCATTGGTCAAAGCTCACGACCGAGAAACATTGCAGGCCCTTTAACAGCTTAATGGCATCCATTGCCCAGACACTGGGCGGGTCCATGTGTCCGCACCATGTAGGAAACTGTGGATGTTCCAGGAATCCAGACATGCCAAGGGCGGCCATGATTGAGAGCATGTCGATTAGGAAACGCAGCAAGCAATCTCCGATCCAAACCTGAGCTTGCTCTTTTCTGGTGAGCGCTGGGAGGCCGGTAAGGTGCGCCCCCGATCTCAACGGCCTGGGGCCTGCTTCATCTCCAATGGCATGGAAGCGGGCGGCCGTGTATGTTTCACAGGGCGGGCCGCCCCCTGTGCATACTAGCTGTCCCGATGCCGCACGAGACTGCCACCACTTCAGGGCTTCAGGCCGCGCTAGGTCTGCGTGTTGGCGTTGCATGCATAAATCTACTGAGAGCGTAAAAATGTGCTCGCCAGATGGCTGGATGCGATGATCGATGATATCATGAATATCACCGACTCTTCGGTAGCCGCTAAAGAAATGCACAATAACAAGGGCCCGGACATGTAACATCGCAGCTTCCCTGGCAAGGCCATACATGGAGTATGCTCCGGCCCCTCGGTCCAGGCCTTGGTGGGATTGAAAAACAAACGCAGGGAGGTCGCTCGTCTGCCACCATAGCTGAGGATCGGTGCTGTCCTTGCAGCTGATGCGGCGACCCTGCAAGTTTTCAAAGGCAAGAGTGTCAGGCGGTCTGATGGCATGTGTCTTCTGCCACATGTCTTTGGCTTCCTGGCTGTGCACTGGAGGGAGACTGGGACCGGAGAGTTTGAGTGCTGGTTGCAGGGCCTTTGACGCCCACCATCCATCCTTGCGAAGCGCAGACTCAGTCTGGCGATCCTCTTGATCTAATGCTTCGACCTGGGCGCTGGGCATGGGGGGCCAGCAGGCCTGCACAGTGTCGTAGCAGCCGGGATTCTTTTCATAATGGATGGCAAGGCGGTTTCGTGAATGAAAGCATTGCAGGCACACTGGACACACATCTCCTACAGCAAAGTACCGGACTTTCTTACGATAGCTGTGGGCTCGGGCCGCATGCATAGCCAGGGCTCGAGAAGAGCCAAAGGTCTTAGGGCACAGGTCACATTGCCAGATTTCACTGGCCTTTTTCTGGGCAGGCGGGTCTGGAAGTGTGGCTCCATTCAGTGCCAGGCGCTGGGAAAGATGCTGATGCCATAGCTGGTGGCGCGCTTTGGCGGAATGGAACGCAAGAGCCTGATGGGTTGCCTTGCGGATCTTGCCCTTCCACCGGCTATCTAACATGATGGCAGTGGCCCAATCAACAAAGGAAGCATCAGGGCTCACAGGCAAGCGACCCCCATGATGGCGACACAGCCACCGGAGGGAGTCCCGGCAGAGTTGCATCCATGAGCCTGGACCTGATGTGGCTTCCAGGAGCATCCATGTGATGTGTGGGCAGGCTTGCAGGAGGCGCTTGAGGAAGCGAAGGCGTTGGGCATGAAGCTGGTCAGGGAGGGGCAAAATGCCACAGGCAGCGAACAGCTCATCGGTGGTGTGCTGAAACCGTGACTGGACTTCAAGGCGACCACGCAACATGACAGCAACCATCGGACGGGCAGAATTATTCCATGCTTCAAAGTCTTGGGGAGTGACACCGGCCCAAGTGTGGACGTTAAACATGAGCTTGGACACGACAAGACTTTGGAAAACCTTGGCACGGACATCTAACGACAGCCGCTTGGTAAAAAACGATCGGGACATTTGACCAAATTGTTGCTTGGCCGCCGAGGCTCGTTTGGCAACCTCACGGGCGTGGCGATGCTTGGTTTGAAGCCAGGATCCCAAGTGTTTGTACTCTTGACACAACGGAAGCTGCATGGGTTTGCCATCTTTGGTGGTCCATTTCATGACCGCGCCTGCCAAGTGAGCATCAGCTTTGATTTGTTTTGTGCCTCTGCCAGCCAGATTCCATAAGACCTCTGTCTTACCTCTGTCAAAATTGATCGCAAGCCCTCTGGTTTCAGTGGCTGTGACAAGGGCTTCAACGATGACATGTATCATGGTTATGAGACGGTCATTGGTGCGAGCATGCATCACAACTGCAACATCATCCACGAACGTGACATCCGCATAGGCTTCAAGAGGGACAGGCCGATTTTGGGAAAAGTCAGACACAGGGAGGTCCGATCCTAACCAGCACAGCTGTGCATTTTGCCGCACTGTGGTGTGGACCTCTGCCAAAATCACTGTCATGCACATGTTGAATAAAATGTCCGCAATGGGATCTCCTGGTCTGGTACCACGGGTTGTCTGGCAAAAGGAGCTGAGCCCAGGAATGGTGAAATATGTTTGACACATGAGATCCCGTAGCAGGTGCTGCAAATGTGTGGTCAGTCTGGCTGCAACAGCATCTTTGGCAGTGGCTTGCAGGAGCTTGCCTAGCGCATCCGGCGTCAGTCCCAAAGCTGTCATGGCAGCGACAAAGGTGGAATTGTCGCTGGGCAGTTGGGTAAAACTCTGTCTCAAAACAGTGTAGAAGGCGGCTCGGATGTCGACAAAGAGAACTGCGGTGGGAAGACCTTTCTGTGCAGTCCATGCTTGATGACATTGAAGCACATGGTGCGCCATGTCAACTCCAAGGGATTTACGCCCGCCATATTGCATGGTCTGAATGTCTGGTTCCCAGGCCTGGACCAGATGCTGGCGCACACATTGATGAAATAACTTGGCAGAATAGTTGGAAATAAATATGCTTCGATATGCTTCAGGAAGACTGGGGGACGCTTTGCCTTTCCATAAGGGAACAAGTGTTCCCCCTTTCCATGTGAGCGGCTCCTTGGCGTGAGCAGTAGCTTTTGCAAAAAGCATAGCAAGTTGTTTGGACATGACTTCGCCTCCTGCTTTCATGACTGCAGGCGGAAGCAAATTGGGACCTGCCACCTTGTCTCGTTTGAGCTTGGTGAGCAGGGCATGAATCTGCCAGCTTGATGGAAAGGCAGAGGGGTCAACATCCAATGAAGCAAATGGAGGAGGGAAGGCATTGGCCGCCTGCAGTTGTTCCCACGAGACATCAACAGCTGCTTCGATGTCGGCAAATTGATCTCGCCAAATGGTCTGTTGGCTTTCATAAGTGGTAGCCATAGTCCCATCCTTAGTGCGCAGGATGGGGAGAGGCTTAGGTCCAACTGGTGCAGACTTTTTGCGACGGCCCAGACGTTGCAGAAGTCGGTAGACCAGACGGTGATTGGACATTTCGCCTGCTTGCTCCAAGTTCTGGATGAGGGCATCATAGTACGCTTGAATATCTTGTCGGACAAGTTGGGCAACTGCTTTCTCGATTGCACGAAGCTCCTGTCGAAAAGGCTCATGACCAAACAACCCTAATTGTCTACCACAATCCAGGATATTGCGCTTGAAGGCAATGGCTTCCTTGGCCACCACTGAGAGCTGGATGGAACGGCTTTTTGTCTTGGCTTTGGCGAAATGCTGTTGGGCCAGGAGGAGGATCTGCTGCTCATAAAGAGCCGTGTGGTCATCAACGTGGATGTTCCATGCAGGAAGTGGCAGCGTGTGGAGGGCTGCACGGAAGGCCGCACACTTTGCAGGATCCAGTAGCGCCATGTCGTCCCATTGATACGTTTTGGGCATGTGCATCGCAGGAAAACAGCCTTGCATGGTGAGGAAAACTGGTAGGTGGTCTTCATGAGAGAACGTGTTGTCATGGTCAAGAACAACAGCAGAAGATTGCACCAGGGCCAAGTCTACAGCAGGGACCAAGACGTAGTCTTTGCGGCTTTTCTTACCAGTGGCATGCGTCCATGTGGTTGTAGGACCACCGTGAAGAGCTGAAAAGGTGGATGGCACGGCAAGTCGATGGGCTTGTAGGAACCACTTGAACAGTTCCCCTTGCTTGGTCATGGGCTCTGCACCATGGGACCCCACCAAATCTCCGCATTGAGCATCAAGAGGAGCATTGGCATCAATGAGGACCCATAGCATGGTGGAGACTGCATATTGGTGGAAAAGAGTAGACGTTTCCTGCCACCATGCCTGCAGGGACTCCATGGGGGACGGTTGCCCTTGGACCGGAGTGGAAAGGCATGGGGTATGAAGCACAACAAAGGAAAGGCATTGGTTTCCAATTTTGGCTTGCACAAATAGCCTGCGAGGATCGGCATGCTGCACAATGAGCTGTGCTCGGGCAAGCTTGGCACCAGAGGCCAGGATGATGTAATGTGGCGATTGAAAGCGGCCAGCCGGAGTGCGGGCTTCTTGTACCCCAGTGACATGGACTCCAGCTTTATGCCATTGCGCATCGAGTCTGGTGGTGCGCTGGCCTGAGCGGCGTGTGCCTTGAGCATGTTTTGACCACACCTCTGTGGCGAGGACATTTGCTGTTTGGACC